TGGTCAACCATTTTTAAGTATTAACGTGAGTAATACTTAAGTGTAATACTTAATACCGCCTAGAGTGGTCATATCGACAAGATAGGCAGGATATAAATAGAATAAATAAATACATATAAGACTTAGGAGGTCTATAAAGGCTTTATATCTCTGTTTAAAAACATTTTGACACAATGGGGTTGTACTTTATGAGGCGCAACAGGTATGTAGGCATCCTTCAGTCTCGAGAGACTATGGTAACATGCTCTGTAGGGAGGACTTGGAACAGCATCTAGTGTGGCTGAGAAGGCCAATTCGAGAGTGACCATCCCTTCCACACTGAAGACAAATACATTCTGTCCCCTGTCCAGCTCCCTGGTTTTGCTGGTTTTGGGACTGCCTCTTTGCCTCGGCCTGCTGGACAAGGGTCTCTTCAAATTGGGAGCGGCTGTGATGCACCACCTGCCTCCAGGCTGAATGCTCAGACGTCAGGGTTTCCCATCTGTTGAGGTCCACTCCTAAGGCCTTCAGATCCGGCTTGCAGATGTCCTTGTATCACAGCTGTGGTCTTCCTCTGGGGCAATTTCCTTGCACTAATTCTCCATACAGGAGGTCTTTGGGAATCCGACCATCAGCCATTCTCATGACATGACCAAGCCAACGTAGACTTTGTCTAGAGGGGCGGGGTATAAATTCAATAAAAGTAAAGTAAAGTATTACAAAATCAGCTCTATAGTTCCAAAACAAGGACAATTACAAAATGACTTGAAATCTGGCTCTGTCTGGTTGCGCTTATGCATTATCTCTTAGTCCTGAGTGGAACAACACCTGGTTTTCACCTTCTACCACCATTAGCTAAGCTAGTAAGTTATGGAAATGACAATCTAGTCTCTGGGATGGTAAGTTCTCCACTTGCTTTGATGACAAGACCTGGTTATCAAGAGACCATGAAATACATTTTGCTCTAATTTGCTCTCCTTGGCTGTTTGTAGGACTAGGAGGCAGAAGTATCTTGTCTACAGCACATGCTAGTAAGTTATAAGACTGTTACAAAATTAAGAAGATGCATTGGCACCTCCAATTTTGCATTTAAAAAAAGACTTGGTGATTGTTATACAATTATAATATTTGATCAAAGATTGTTATTTTGTAATTTCTACTCACTTGTAACCATACCAATAAAAATATGGCACTGTAAGCTATCAATTGTACTCAAAGTATTATTTACCTCACCCCCATACCATACTGTCACTCTTTCAGCATCCACAAGGCCACTTGTCAAAAATAAAGAATTGATACAATTTAAAAAATATAATAAAACAACTATGTCTGAAGGGCAATGCCCTTAAGACCAGTGACTTCGAGCCAGGCTTGCTATGTATGTCATCAAATCAAATAAGATACAGACAAAATAATTGTCTATTGTCTATAAATTGTTGTTTATTACCAAGTTTATAGCTCCCTGCTTCCTCTGCCCATTTCTAAAGATTATTATATTTTAATTCCATATAAGGAAACAGCTTTATTAAGACCAACCCAGATGTTAGAAAACAATGTGCCAGGTTTCAAGCGCTCCAGAATTCCTTATCAGGAAGAAGCAGCTAGCAAGCAAAGCAAAGCAAAGGGAGCAGGGAAATTGACTGATGCTTGATAACAGGTCAGCCTGGATTTCTAAAGAAAAGTTCTGGCTGGGAAGAAAGGAAGGATAATGCATCCACACAGAGAAATGTAGTGTTCAACAGTTATGCCAAGTTCCCAAAGCTCACGAAAATTTAAACAGCATCAAAGAGTTTTAAAAGTTTCATAAAGTTTGGATTAGATTTTGCCAGGTCCTTATTATTAAACCTAGATGAAGGCTTTAAACACAGTAGCATCTCCAATGTATATTGTCTCCCAGCTTATTTAACTTATATGCAGAATACATCATGCGGAAGGCTGGACTGGAGGAATCTCAAACCGGAATTAAGATTGCCGGAAGTAATATCAACAACCTCCGATATGCAGATGATACCACTCTGATGGCAGAAAGTGAGGAAGTATTAAAGACACTCGTAATGAGGGTGAAAGAGGAGAGTGCAAAAAATGGTCTGAAACTCAACATCAAAAAAACTAAGATCATGGCCACTGGTCCCATCACCTCCTGGGAAATAGAAGGGGAAGATAAAGAGGCAGTGTCAGATTTTTTTTCCTGGGCTCTATGATCACTGCAGATGGAGACAGCAGCCATGAAATCAAAAGACGCCTGCTTCTTGGGAGGAAAGCGATGACAAATCTTGACAGCATCTTAAAAAGCAGAGACATCACCTTGCCAACAAAAGTCCGAATAGTCAAAGCTATGGTTTTTCCTGTCATGATGTATGGAAGTGAGAGCTGGACCATAAAGAAAGCAGACCGCCGAAGAATTGATGCCTTTGAATTGTGGTGCTGGAGGAGGCTCTTGAGAATCCCATGGACTGAAAGGAGAACAAATTCATCAATTCTAAAGGAAATCAACCCTGAGTGCTCACTGGAAGGACAGATCGGGAAGCTGAGGCTCCAGTACTTTGGCCATCTCATGAGAAGAGAAGACTCCTTGGAAAAAACCTTGATGTTAGGAAAGTGTGAGGGCAAGAGGAGAAGGGGAGCACCGAGGATGAGATGGCTGGACAGTGTCTGCGAAGCAATCAACATGAATTTGACACAGTGGAAGATAGGAGAGCCTGGTGTGCTCTCGTCCATGGGGTCACGAAGAGTTGGACACGACTAAACGACGAAACGAGCATCTCCAATATTTTATTTAAATTATTTCCCCAAATAACTTCCTTGAACCATCTATGTGGTACTGGTCAGAAGGACGCTAAATCCTCCAACAATGGGCCTTGGTTAAAATTCTTTCGTTTGATAAGAGTTCGTTGATTGGGGGGGGGGAATGTTCCAAACTGAAAATGTAAAAGTAGTAAGGAAGGAAAGAGACGGGTGGGAAAAGGTTAGTGGCCCGTACGGGGATCGAACCCGCGACCTTGGCGTTATTAGCACCACGCTCTAACCAACTGAGCTAACCGGCCACTTTTTGGATTAATGTGTTTAGTAATTGGGAACATATTAACTTAACCCTAAGAGGTGTACAATACCACCACCAGATGGCACCAAACGATAAGGGAGAAGACATCCAAAAAAATTTTTCAGTCTTGGTTAGAAGACCCTAAAGATTTCCGGAAATCGTAGGAATTTTCCAGTCCTGTGTACATAGTTTATTGACAGGACGAGGCTAATGTGTGTATTCCACCTCTCCTTTTCTTTATACAACTGTTTGAGGGAGAACAGACATGGGTTTACTCTGCCGATTTGATGGACAAGGATTTCCAGAACGACTCCAATATTAACCATGTGTATGCTCTTGAAAAAAAAAAACACCTTTGTGGTTTGCAGTGCATGTAATCATTAAACACTGGATCGGTTCACCACCAAAAAGTGCTGGAATCATGCCCGCCTGCACCTAATCTTGTATTGCCCTTTCTGAAATGAAAATGCATGTACGCAGGGAACACGCAGAAGTAACAAACCTCTGTTGTTACTGCTGGAAAATATCTACTGGCATCTGCTCTCTGACCTTATCCCGCCTGAATCCAAAGTATTTCCGACACTTTTCAGGGAGCTAGTCCCTATTTTAGTGATGTAAACCCCCGTTGTATACCCATTGTTTCCAGCTTTAAACATCTTTCAAACATGAAAACGCCTTAGGTTCTTATTAAGGAAAAAAGCGGGATAAAAACATTTAAACAAACAACTAACACTCTGCTATAGCAAAACCAAGAGTGCTTATGGCACCTTTAAGACGACCAGGTTTTGTGTCATTAGCTTCCGCCTGCAGTACGCGGAAACGTGTGTAGAAGAGAAAACCTGCCTGTTTTTAAAGTGTAATTAGAACTTTCACGTGGACTGCAAATCCCAGGGTTCTCAAATACTACCAGCTGAGACACAATACACAAGCTAGCACCCCTACTTGATTCCATGGAATTATCCTCCAATGATTTCTTAGAAATTGGCTTCTTCCAGATCTAAGCCCATACTTTTGAGAAGCGAGGGAATTACCATAGTTTGTTGCTGAACATTCTTCATGCCCAAAAGTTTTAAGTCCCTCGATCTCAGAACCAGTGAAAAGAAATTGCAATTAATAAAATCTACAGAAGAAAAAATAAGATGTAGGGATAATAGCGAGAGCTCTTTTGTTGAGGAAGTGGGTGGCTCTTAAAAGAGCCTTTGGGTCTGTTTGGAAAGGTGGTGGGTGGGTGGTCTACTTGGAGCTGGTGTACTTGGTGACAGCCTTGGTGCCCTCGGAGACGGCGTGCTTGGCCAGCTCTCCGGGCAGGAGGAGCCTGACGGCGGTCTGGATCTCCCGGGAGGTGATGGTGGAGCGCTTGTTGTAATGGGCGAGGCGGGAGGCCTCGGCGGCGATGCGCTCGAAGATGTCGTTGACGAAGGAGTTCATGATGCTCATGGCCTTGGAGGAGATGCCGGTGTCCGGGTGGACCTGCTTGAGGACCTTGTAGACGTAGATGGAGTAGCTCTCCTTGCGGCTCTTCTTGCGCTTCTTATCGCCCTTCTTTTGCGTCTTGGTCACCGCCTTCTTGGAGCCCTTCTTGGGCGCAGGAGCGGACTTGGCTGGCTCAGGCATGGCTCAACCGTGTCTGCAGAACACACGAAGTGAGAGGCCGGCTCTCCCCGCCTGGTATTTATAGGACTCCCACGCTAATCGCCGTTCCAGAACTGCCCGCTTCTCATTGGCCGGGGAAAGTTTGCGCAACTATGCAAAGTTCGGACTCTCAAACCCGTGGCTTCTATTGGCTAGCATAAATCGCTATTTACTGATTGGGTAGCACGGATAACTAGTTTTTCTATTGGGCAGTTTAAAAAGCTAGAGGAACTCGACCAATAGGAAGACACATTTTGGAGCTCCAGGACTAAATAAAAAGGCCCGCAGACGATTGCCGCCACCAAACTATTTCCAGAGTTCCGATTTTCTTTTGGAATCTTCGAAAGCCAGAGAGCAGAATGTCCGGACGCGGAAAGCAAGGGGGCAAAGCCAGGGCGAAGGCCAAGACCCGCTCCTCCCGGGCCGGCCTGCAGTTCCCGGTGGGTCGCGTCCACCGCCTGCTGCGGAAGGGCAACTACGCCGAGCGGGTGGGCGCCGGGGCCCCCGTCTACCTGGCCGCCGTCCTCGAGTACCTGACGGCCGAGATCCTCGAGCTGGCCGGCAACGCCGCCCGGGACAACAAGAAGACCCGCATCATCCCCCGACACCTCCAGCTAGCCATCCGCAACGACGAGGAGCTCAACAAGCTGCTGGGGAAAGTCACCATCGCCCAGGGAGGCGTCTTTCCCAACATCCAGGCCGTCCTGCTGCCCGAGAAGACCGAGAGCCACAAGGCGAAAGGAAACTAAATCGTATTTTATAGAAGCCGCAAGGGAAAAAAAACAACCAAACCAAAGGCTCTTTTAAGAGCCACTCACAGTTTCACAGAAAGAGCTTTTGTCCTGCATGAAACTTAAAAATACTCTGGTACCTTTTCTGGTTGCCTTTCAAAAAAAAAACAAACGCGCAAACACCTCTTAAGCCCTTCTATCCAGAGGATACAAATGAAGCCAATTGTCTTCCAGTCAAAAGGAAATATTGTGTTTCTTGAGCTTTGCAACCATATAGCAAAATCTTCCTGAACCGAAGTAGATGAAAGCCTTACTAGATCATGGTGGAAAGGAAGGCTAGACTGCTGGCCTTTGATGCACCACGAAACTTTCCAAATGAGCAGTAATTCTCAAGACCGGAGCAAAAGATCCTTATGATACCGTAAAGATTAGCCAAATGCACGAATTTATGAATTTTTGCAATGTAAACAGTTTCAGGCAGGGAGCCCTCTAAGAGTCTATAAGACACGATATCCCTCTTTCCACCATGTTCCTCTTCCCGCTTTAGCGAGAAAGGAGTTGTGTGTGTGTGTGTGTGTGTGGTCCCTCTTTCCACCATGTTCATCTTCCCTCTAAACTAGACGCCATGCTACTCTTCCCGCTTTAGCGAGAAAGGAGTTTTGTGTGTGTGTTGTTGTTTTTTAAGCACTGAATAAGAGGCCGCGGCGCTTTCGGCGCCAATTTCAAACCCTGTAGTTTTGGCGGCAATTTCAAAAACAAGTTTTTTTTTTCCGGGGCGGCAACGTCGAGTCACCAATCCGCTTGGAAGGCGGGCTTTTTCAAAGAACTCATTGTTAAGAGACTTTGTCCTTTAAGGCGATCTACCCCCTAGGGTAGTTTTAAATTTAAAACGGTTTGGGTATGATGTAGATACCTTTACAACGGACTGTTACAGCTGAACCGGATTCACAAGTAGAATTTAAACGGCTTATAGGAAAATCCTCAGGAGTTCTTGATGGGGGGGCACCCTCCAAAACCTCAGGTCTGAATCCTTTAAAACGGAGTCTGGGTCCCCAAACATAAGCCTGATCCCGAAACATACCTTCCAAATCCTAAAAAATCATCCTTTTTTTTAAAAAAAAAGATGTCCCTCCACATACAGATGGCAACTCACAGTGAGGTGAAAACATCCCTATACAGGAATTTTTATTTATTTATAATATTTTTGCTTTGCCTTACTTCTTCAAAGGACCCAAGGCAGCTCATATTATTAAAAGGACAACATTCAAAAGCTTTAAAAATTGGGTATACAAATATTTAAAAATAATTAAACAAGTATTGTAACAAAAACAGTAAGTTTTTCTGTCTGGATACAGGAGATAAACATTGATTTTTGTCACGTTATATCGTACAGGTATTTAATTAAATTGAAACGAACTGGAATTTACAAACGTGCAAGTTTTGAAGTTTTTCAGGACTCTTCATCAGGTGAGGGGATTAAAAGAAAATTCAGGTAGAAGAAGCAGGTGTGGCAATCTACCACCTAGTTTAGGGAAATACTGTACATTGGTTCTCTGGGCAGCAAAAGGAAGATCTCTAAACATCAGCCCATTTTACTTTCAGAAATTTGGCTTCTCCAATATGTGCTGGTAATTTGAAATTTACACACCTACCATGTAGTCTATAATCTCCATTTTAAGAAATGAGTTCAGCTAGACTTTGGGGTTATAACAGCTGACCAGTTGGGAACCTTCCCCCACCACATGCTGGTTCTACCACCTCTTCTGATGAATAGTTCAGCAGAACTCAAAAGCGTGCACGTGTTTTTCTGACATTTTGGCCCTAATAAAGGTAGCCCCCCCAACTGTAGGTTTTGTTTTCCATGTGAAGCAGAACTGTTAGGTGTGAGTTTGAATGTCACTATATGGTTTCAGCTCCTGCGCTGGAAAACTTGGTTCAATACAAGCCCACTCAGAGGTACCCACTGAGTTTTCCTCATTTTACTCTGGAGTAACTGTGTGTGAGTTTAAAGCCTAAAGTGCGTGGGGTCCCTGAGAAAACAAGACCCTAGTCAGAAAGTATGCCCCACTAATTCCCGTAGGGTTTACTCCCAAGTAAAGTTCCATCCCCATAGCAGCACTTGCTAATTTAGTCTCACATAATGCCTTTCTTAAGAAATGTCTATTTCTCCCACTTTCCCCCTCATTGCAACAGATTTCAAAGGCCCACATTTCTGACATTCATGATTTCTGACTTTTCAGCTGCATGCGAAATCTTAATAATTTCCTGATTTAAAAAAAAAACAAAACTAAATTGCTCTGGAGGAAGGGGTCAGAAGCGGTGCTCTGGGGAAACCTTTAAGGACAAAAGCTAATACATCGTTTACTTCTAGTTTCCATCTGGTTTGCTTAAGGAGAAAGCCTGAGCGCCTCAGGGAAAGGAGGGAGGGTTGATGGGGGGGTGTTGCAATATCTGCGTCCAATCAATATCAAGCCCGGGAAATTCAAACTGGGCAACGGTCCCCCTGGCCCCTCTCAGCCAATCAGGGCACAGGGCTTGGCTATAAAAAGCCGGGGGACAAGCGCTCCTCACTTATTTTTTTGCGGTTCTCTGCGGAAGAAGGTCTTACAGCGCGAAGGAGAGGCGAAATGGCTCGCACCAAGCAAACCGCTCGGAAGTCTACCGGTGGCAAGGCCCCTCGCAAGCAGCTGGCCACCAAGGCTGCCCGGAAAAGCGCTCCTGCTACCGGAGGAGTGAAGAAGCCCCACCGCTACCGCCCCGGGACCGTCGCCTTGAGAGAGATCCGGCGCTACCAGAAGTCTACCGAACTCCTGATCCGCAAGCTGCCTTTCCAGCGCCTGGTGCGGGAGATCGCCCAGGATTTCAAGACCGACCTGCGCTTCCAGAGCTCGGCCGTCATGGCCTTGCAGGAGGCCAGCGAGGCTTATCTGGTGGGGCTCTTCGAGGACACCAACCTCTGCGCCATCCACGCCAAAAGGGTCACCATCATGCCCAAGGACATCCAGCTGGCCAGGCGCATCCGCGGCGAGAGGGCATAAAAGGAGAACGACCACCCTGTGAAACCAAAAGGCTCTTTTAAGAGCCACCACTTGCTCCCAAAAAAAGCTGGAACCCAAAATATTGTAGTTGGCTTAAACGGTGCAGGAGGTGAAGCGATGGGGGTGAGATTCGCACGGGTGGCTTTTAGGGCTTGGAAAACTTGATCTGCGCTTGAAAACCTTTGGGCAGGATCAGTTTTGGAAAGGAGTTGCAGTTTTATTTCAGAAGGCATGGATTGGGATATTGGGGGGGGACCATTTAAGAATCCTACTGTAGCAACTCGGCCCGCTTTCCGGCAAAAAGAAACTGATACATTGAAGTCGAGGCGAAAAGACCGCAAATGGGGTAAAGTAGGTCTCCAGAACTTGGACATGAGATCCCATCATCCTTGGTCTAGTTAAACTCAGCGGGAGTTCTTGCTTTCCAGCGCTTAGAGGGTTATCCGTACCATGAATGAAAAACAACCGGCTTACTCATGATCCAGAGAAAGGTACTACAGTACTTGAACCTTCAGCGTAATAAAAGGGCACGCTTTTGCATTTAGGAAAATAGTGCCTTTTTAAAAAGCCATAGCGCCCGTTTTTCTATACTACAGTACTTAGGTGCTGATTTCCACGTGCTTTTTGTCCTTGTGTATAGCTTTCATGTCCAGAAGGAGGAGTCTCTTCGCACCGCAGGGTTGCAAAGGCAGAGGAAAACCAAGTGCACCGCTTCCACCTCTTTGAGCAAAGATGGGGTATCATTATAACATACATTTTAAAAATAGTATCTAATTGGATCTTGTTACATGAAACTACACAATGTTACAGGTTCACGAAAGAAAAAGGGAGGCGATCCGGAGCCGGTAGCTAGCGACTCTACCTTGATTTTCTTACGTTCTCACGTGGGCAAAACATTCTTTGAAAGGACAAGACTGAACCCATATCTCTACGACCTGGGGGAGAAAAAAAATCAGTGTATTTTGAGAATGGGAGGCGAGAAAAAGTTATATTTGTCAGGAGTGGGATTCGAACCCACGCCTCCAGGGGAGACTGCGACCTGAACGCAGCGCCTTAGACCGCTCGGCCATCCTGACTGCCTGGAAAAAACGGCTTCTGCTCCTCCTCCTGAGTATGATTTGGCTGTTCCTTTTGACAATTTTGGAGGGATGTGTGAGCGATCTGTCATTGCATTTGTTAATATGGGGGAGAGGGCATATGGGCATTCAAAAATATCGCGCCCCCCCCTCAGCTGCTGAGCAAGGCGACAAAGAAAGCCAAACCTTTCGCTCACAATGGCCGATCAAAATAGCAAAGCAGTGGCTTTTTAAGATGTCTTTTCCAGATTTAATCTTGCAATTTATATGATGGAAGGATAGCAATCCAGGGAGCCTGTTCCAAAAATCATTTTTGGGCTTCATTGGGGGAAAAGAATCATCCAACCTTTCTTTTTCTTAAGCACAGATAAGTTTTTTATGGTTGCAAGTGGACTCCCCTAAATAAATGGAGAGATTGATTCTCGATGTCTGTTCGCTGGAAGAAAATTAATCATTTTTCTTAATGAACGGACGAAAAATACAGCTTAGCAGAGGATGGTTTCGATCCATCGACCTCTGGGTTATGGGCCCAGCACGCTTCCGCTGCGCCACTCTGCTTGCTTGGACACACTGTCTTTACTTACCTACTTGTAAGACAGTGTACACATTTAGCTACCCTTTTACTTTCTTTAAAAGGGAATATTTGCATTTGATACTGTAATAAGGTTTGACTTTGTAAATATCCTCCATGCCTCTATATTATCGCCTGTCAAACACCAAACAACATTGCCTAGCCATTACTTTGTTTTAATAATGCTTTTGTTTAGTATTTTTAATATAATGTTTATTTACAGTAATTGTTTAAGTCTGTGAATAATTCTTTCTGTTTTTAGCTAATATTTTTAAAGATGTAATAAGCTACCTTGGGTGCTTTTGTGGAGAAGGGCGAGAAAACTATTTTACATAAATAAATAATAAATGGTCATCCATAGCCGACAAGTAAATTACATGCATGCTCTCTGTTAATTTTTTAAAAAACACTGCTTTAAACACCTCTTGAACATTTGACAAATTTTGAGTTGCTACTGCAGGTAGCTACCAAAGTCAATTTTAAAAAAATGAAGCGTCTTTACAAGACTGTTTCAAAACCCCTTTAAGTGCTAGTGTGAAATATAAATTTCAAATATTTGATGCAGACAAATGTATTAGGAAATTTGAAAGTCAACTGGCCATGCATGCAGTTTGCCCTGCCCATCCACCCCATTGGGAGTATTCAAAAAGGCAGGCTACATTTGCGTTATCTCAACATAAGCAGGGCAGGTCTTTTGTAAAGCCAATGCATCTTAATTGTCAATTCAATGAAGATCAAACGGCTCTCACATATTTTGCATTACCTTAGAGAAGGCTTGCAAATAGGTACTGATCCTTGGGGGGGGAATCCACTTGTCTCCCCTATAGTGTGACGATTGTAGTTACACTTGCAGTGAACTGGAAAGCCCAGGAGGGATAGTGGAGGAAGATGATGTCATGGTTCAACATGGACAATAATGTTAGGAATATTGGAAAGCAGCAGGAAGAGAGGGCGACTGAACATGAGATGGATTGGCACAATAAAGGAAACCATAACCTCGCGTTTGGATATTGTGTAGCTGCATGGATGTTTCCAGAGAGTGTAGCTGTTGTATAAACTGGCCTAGAGGAACTGTTAGATTGTACATTTCTGGGTGCCAAGACTGCACTTCTCGTATTCAATAAATTTGCCTTGTACCTCTGCTGATGAAGATGATTTGGCCTTTATCCCTTTTTTTAGTCTTCTCACCTCTCTTTCTGGAGGTTGGGGCTCTCAAGGGTTAAGGCACCTGTTTTGAAAAAGGCTGGCGTCTTGTAAAATACAGTAGCCCAAGGTGAGGGATCAAGTCTTCGGAGTACAGAATCCACTTTGGGTATCAAAATCGGATTTTCAGTCCATTATTTTGCAATAGAAAGAGCGGATCTGTGAATACAAACCTATCTCGCATCACCAGAGTTCAAACATAGCTTTTCAAAATGGTTTAGCTATCGCTAAAGGCCAACGAAGATAAGTATGTATTGCACAAACTGAAAAATGAAAAGTGATGGGGAGGGGAAAAAAGGGAATTTTAGACCGACGAAGGTGGGATTCGAACCCACGCGTGCAGAGCACAATGGATTAGCAGTCCATCGCCTTAACCACTCGGCCACCTCGTCTTGACGGTCTTGTGCATTTGATCCACCTGTATTTGAGTTGGAAGGAAAACATGACCTAGGACCTTTTTAAAAAACAAAACATTGGTGGATTGCTCATAGCATTGCCTGTAACTTTTGGAAGAGTCCACTCCAAATGATAAAAAATAAATGCAAAGGGGAGAAAAGAAATTAGTGGAGTTGGACCGTTCCCCCAAAGAAAGAAAACAAGTACTGTATTTAAAATTTCCATATACTGTACGTAGATGTGTTTAAATTGCCTTAAATTTATGTTTAGCCTTTCGGTTTTCACTGTGTGAAGATTTAGTTTTTCTCATAAGGAATAAAATCGAAGACTTTCTCAAGTTGGTTCCATAGTGTAGTGGTTATCACGTCTGCTTTACACGCAGAAGGTCCTGGGTTCGAGCCCCAGTGGAACCACTTTGCGTTTTAAAAAATCAAGTCAAAAGAAAAATAATACGGTAACGATTTAGATTTCCTGCTCATATAGGAACCGCTGCCGCCTTAGTAACTAGATCGAACGGTGCCGCAGGAACGCCATAAAAATGATTACAAGTAACGTGCGGTTCGTTACATAGTAGTTTCACTCTGTTTCGCAACCCCGCTCGAATAGGCGAAAAATAATCCTCAGGGGAGCAGGAGCGAGAAGTTTCGCAAAATGTTAAGTCTTCTTGCAGGGAGCTTTCCTTTTTTCCCCTGGGTGTTATAACCCACAATTTAAGGTTTCCAATTCTGGTTTTTTGGATGGTTAACCTTTTATACTTCCTCCTTCCTACAGTCTGCAAAGAGAAGATCCATGCACAGGCTGTTTTTCGCTTGTGTTTTTCAAAAACAGACACAGGATTGCAATTTTTTTTAAAAAAACGTAACGCTCTAATAAAAGTACTGTAGCACCCATCCTTGCTTTTGGTCTTCTAAGAAGACCCAGAAAGCTTTTCCTCTTATTTTTATTTACTGGAGGGGGAGCTATTCACTGATTCAGCTCACAATTGAGCCACAGAACCATTTTTGACCGCATACGAATGAAAGCTGCTTTAAAAAAAGGCATCCAATGAAAAGTTACAAAAGGAAAATGGAAAAATATAACTGGCCCGTACGGGGATCGAACCCGCGACCTTGGCGTTATTAGCACCACGCTCTAACCAACTGAGCTAACCGGCCATCTGGGAAAGGCTTCTGGGTCCTCAGATACATACCACAAAATACCACCTAATTTAAGTTGGCTGGGGCACGTCGTGAGAATGACTGATGGTCGGATTCCAAAGGATCTCCTGTATGGAGAATTAGTGCAGGGAAAGCGCCCCAGAGGGAGACCACAACTGCGATAAGGGGAGAAACCTGAATTAATTTTTATTTTTTTATTTTTATTTATTGTATTTATTATATTTATATCCCACCTATCTGACAGGATGAAGAATCTCCGTTTTGAAATGCAAGATGATTTACATTTATTTAAAGAAAACGCGGATGGATTAAATGCTCAAAGTTCCTTTTTGCATGGTTATCCAAAAAGTGGTCCTGTGGCCCGTACGGGGATCGAACCCGCGACCTTGGCGTTATTAGCACCACGCTCTAACCAACTGAGCTAACCGGCCACCTGGGAAAGTCTTCTAGGTCCTCAGAAAGATACCACAATACTCTGGTTTCTCTTCAGATCGTATAAATCTTTCGCCTTTTACTAAAGATACCACAAAATACCACCTAATTTAAGTTTATCCATATTAATGTCTGTATTATAATGGATAAAAATTGACCTGTGGAACACGGAATAATCAGTAAAAAATGCTTGCTTGCTTGCTTGCTTGCTTGCTTGCTTGCTTGTTTGTTTGTATCCTGCCTATCTGGTCGGTTAAGACCACTCTAGGCGGCTAGAAAAAAAACTACCTGATCCGACATCGTGGGAAAAGCCTGTCAACTCTGCATGTTGTGTCAAGGCGATGGCCTTTACTGATTCAACCACTGGTGGCTGGAGATTTTTTTTATGTCTTGTTTTATGACTTGAGTATTAAACTGATCTTGGACATTCGGCTGATTGTCCCCAGTTAGCTGTGTTTTGATTTTAATTTTAATGTTAGAATGAATTCAATCCTATTTTATATACCTGTATTATATGGGTAAAAACTGACCTGTGGAACACGGAATAATCCGTAAAAATTGTGTTTTATTTATTTATTTATTTTATTTATATCCCGCTTATCTGTGGTTTATATCCCGCTTATCTGTGGTTAAGACCACTCTAGGCGGCTAGAAAAAAAACTACCTGATCCGACATCGTGGGAAAAGCCTGTCAACTCTGCATGTTGTGTCAAGGCGATGGCCTTTACTGATTCAACCACTGGTGGCTGGAGATTTTTTTTATGTCTTGTTTTATGACTTGAGTATTAAACTGATCTTGGACATTCGGCTGATTGTCCCCAGTTAGCTGTGTTTTGATTTTAATTTTAATGTTAGAATGAATTCAATCCTATTTTATTTTTGCAGTTCTGCTGTCATTTTTGTTCCCTTGCGTTTGTTACCTGTTTTTTGGAATCCCTTGATGTTCTTGGACTACAACTCCCAGAAATCTTGGTCAGAACAGGTAGTGCTGAAGGCTTCTGGGAGCTGTAGTCCAAGAACATCTGGGGACCCAAGGTTGGGATCCACTGCCTTTAGGACAGGGGTAGGCAATTAATTTCTATGGGGGGGGCACATGAAAAATCTGAACTGTGTTCAGGGGCCGAACCAACTTTACTGAAAAATAAAACAGTGATGTTATGATTGTTTTTATTTTAAACTTGTTGATCTTCACAAATACTAAAGAAGTTTTTTGTGGTATGTTAAAGATAAGCAGCTGCTCAACTTTAGACAAAAAGCTATAAATGGTTTTGATGTTCAAAACTGTCTGCGCGCTGGACAGGAGCAGTTCGCGGGCCGTATGTGGCCCTTGGGCCGCACTTTGCCCAGGTCTGCCTTAGGAGGTCATGAGTGAAAAAATGTACATACAGTATGTCACAGAAGTGAGTACTCCTCTTCACATTTCATAAATATTTTAGTATATCTTTTCGTGTGACAACACCGAAGATATGTCACTTGGCTACAATGGAAAGCAGTGAGTATACAGCTTGTATAACAGTTTAAATGTGCTGTCCCTTCAAAATAACGCAACACACAGCCATTAATGTCTAAACCGCTGACAACAAAAGTGAGTACACCCCTAAGTGATAATGTTCCAGTTGGGCCCAAGTAGCCATTTTTCCTGCCTGGTGTCATGAGACCCCTTTAATGTCACAAGTCTCAGGTGTCCAAATTGGGCACAAAGTGTCAATATTTTATGTGGCCACCATTATTTTCCAGCACTGCCTTAACCCTCTTGGGCACAGAGTTCGGCAGAGCTTCACAGGTGTCTCCCGGGGTCCTCTTCCACTCCTCCATGACAACATCACAGAGCTGGTGAAGATTAGAGACCTTGCACACCTCCACCTTCAATTTCAGAATGCCCCACAGATGCTCAATAGGGTTGAGGACTGGAGATGTGCTTGGCCAGTCCATCACCGTTACCCTCAGCTTCTTTAGCAAGGCAGTCGTCACTTTGGAGGTGTCTTTGGGGTCATTATCATGTTGGAATTTTGCCCTGCAGCCCAGTCTCCAAAGGGAGGATTAGAGACCTTGCACACCTCCACCTTCAATTTCAGAATGCCCCACAGATGCTCAATAGGGTTGAGGACTGGAGATGTGCTTGGCCAGTCCATCACCGTTACCCTCAGCTTCTTTAGCAAGGCAGTCGTCACTTTGGAGGTGTCTTTGGGGTCATTATCATGTTGGAATTTTGCCCTGCAGCCCAGTCTCCAAAGGGAGGGGGTCATGCCTTTGGGGTCGTTATCATGTTGGAATTTTGCCCTGCGGCCCAGTCTCCAAAGGGAGGGGGTCATGTTCTGCTTCAGTATGTCACAGTACATGTGGGCATTCATGGTTCCCTCAATGAGCTGTACCTCCCCAGTGCCAGCAGCACTCATGTAGCCCTAGACCATGACACTCCCACCACCATGCTTGACTGTAGGCACAACACACTTGTCTTTGTACTCCTCACCTGCTTGCCACCAAACACGCTTGACATCATCTGAACCAAAGAAGTTTATCTTGGTCTCATCAGACCACAGGACATGGTTCCAGAAATCCATGACCTTAGTCTGATTGTATGCAGCAACCTGTATGCGGGCTTTCTTGTGCATCATCTTTCGAAGAGTCTTCCTTCTGGGACAACAGCCCTAGAGACCAGTTTGATGCCATGTGCGTCGCATGGTCTGAGCACTGACAGGCTGACCCCACCACCACCACTTCAACCTCTGCAGCAATGCTGGCAGCACTCATCCATCTATTTCCCAAAGCCAACCTCTGGATATGATGCTGAGCACGGGCATTCAGTTTCTTTGGTCAACCATGGCGAAGCCTGTTCTGAGCTTTGTCCTGTTAAACCGCTGTGTGGTCTTGGCCACCGTGCTGCAGCTCAGTTTCAGGGTTTTTGCAATCATCTTATATTTTAGAAGCTGTTAGCCTTCATAGTCTTGCTTCAGTTTACAACCAGGGGTGGGCCACCCTTGCAAATCTTCTTGGACTTCATTTCCCATCATCCTTATGCTGGTCACTGCTGATGGGAGCTATAAGTAAAAAACTATGGAAGGGGGGCAAATTGACTAAATACCAGAAACCAATTGCTGATTCATGCTTGAGCAAGTTATGCTGGCAGGCTGCCACTAATTAACAAGGTCCTGGTTGCACTCTGCTAATTAGCAGCAATTTGCCACCTTGGTTAACACCATTTTACTTACGCAAGCATAAGTTGCCAGTTGGATTCTGGCCATTGTTTTCCTGGGTCTTGACTCTGATGATGAAAAAGTACCTGTGGTTGGAAGATGCATACTTAGGATGGGTGGATGTTTGGAAAATCACTGTTCTGTTACAGATCTTGAGCCTCAATAGTTAAGTAAAACAAGCTAGTTCAACCAACGCATATCTAAGTTTAGGATTTTTTCCCAAATACAAAACCCAGATACACAGATTCTAAAAGTCAATTTCATTTATTAGTACATTGCAAATCGCATTTGGTCCCAAGTGATCTTCTAATGAGATCAATAGAGTCCTGTGCAGTGTTGACCTCTTGTGTTCACTTGGAGTACTGCATGTCCATTGTTGTTCATTTCCTCCCCAATTTAATCATGTAGAGCACACTTTGGGCAGGAACATGTGAGGACAACAGCCTTGGAAGTAATCCAGTAGTCTTGGGGATCTGGTCAATTCCAGCTTGTAAATTAGTGGCACAGAGCAGCTTGTGAGTGAGTGTAGCAAGTCACACTAGAAAGGCAGAGCTCCACAGAGGAACTGCGATCAGGGCTGGCCCTCAGGATAGCGTAAACACCACTCGCAGGCATTCTGGAACATGCGAAGCCACGGGGAGACCTTCATGGACTGCCGCCAGGTGGTCGGCATCCAAGGCCACTGCCAGGGCAGGACACAACGCTCTGGGTGTGGCATCATGGCCAAGTGGCGTCCGTCCGGAGAGCAAATGCCCGCGATGCCCAGGGGAGACCCATTGGGATTGAGAGGGTACTCCTCGGTCGGCACCCCTTGGTCATCCACGTAACGTAGTGGGATCAAACGTGCAGCGCGGACCTGGGCCAGGACTTCGGGAGAACGGAACCGCATCCGACCTGGTAGGTATACGTGCGAAGAAAGGCATGGAAGGAGTTAAAGAAATCAGGTCTAACAATACATATGCTGCAGCCTCTCCCCATTGGCCAATGTTGTTTATTATTTGTCCAATAAGAATGCACCAAGAGGCCCGACCCAAAGCAAAACCAGCCTATTGGAGTCCTCTCTTGAACACTGGTATGGTTTCCAGTTCTAGCTGCTATTGTATTATTCCCCCTTTTAAAAAAAATGTTGGTATTTTTATTTATTTTCATGATGTGGAGTAACACATTTCTAAACCACGTTACAACTAGAACTCCATAAGATTACTTCTCTGGACTACAAATCCCATAATGCCCCAGGATTCTGGGAGCCGGAATCCCAAAGGGGTATATTTTCCAAATATTCCCGCAACCACATACAAAACGCATGCATTACCTTCCCCGTGTGCCACCCAGATGCCGAGGGTGGAACCGGCCATCCCCCGCAGCATCAGCGCTGGACTCTCCTCAATACTCAGGCTCACAAAACGTGACTCAAAGCGCCCAGAGGTGTTTGGGCTCAGCAGCACTCCTGGCTGGACGGTCCCGCCTAAGAACGAGTCAAGCCAAAGGCAGTCACGATCTAACATCTGCCGGACACCCAAAAGGTGATCAGCGTAAAAGGGCAAGGTATACACCAATGCTGGGCACCATCATCCTGTTTACCTGCATTCTTGGCATCGGGTCTCTCCGCTCCTACCCATCCGAGCAGCGCCATCAGTTGGCAGCCGTTGCACACCCCCAAGCTGAAGGTGTCTTTGCGCTGGTGGAACGCCTGGAACTGGGTCCGCGCCCGGTGGTTAAAGGTCACTGAAGCTGCCCAACCTAAAATCAAAACATGGAAACCTGATATTGAGATACCACATTTTTCCGTGTATAAGACTATACTTTTGTCTAAAATCTTTAGACTAAAAATTGGGGGTCGTCTTATACACGGAAAGCTGAGAACAAAAACAAGTGGAGGGGAAAGCAGAGATCAAAGCTCTGCAGGACTGCTCCCCCCCTGCACTTGCTAAGCCCCTCTTAGATTTCTTAATTTTGGATTAGAAAAATGGGGGTGTCTTATATATGGGGGCATCTTATACATGGAAAAATACGGTAATCTACACGTGGCCCCTCCTGGAGTGTTTTTCCAACCCCCTATCATCTGTGACTGCTCACACTTTCCTCTGGGGAGTGTAGGGGCAATTTTGAGGGAACCCTTGGAGCAACTCATATCCCAACATTTTATTTTTTTATAAGTATATTTTTGACCACTAGAGGGTGGAAGAGTGCTTTTTCTTAGGTTGAAAAAAAGTACTTTTGCAGGGCTTACAATCATCCAGACACCCCCAACAATCTCACAAGTAGGTAGGAATCCTATGGTGTTCCTGACAGGGAAATTCTTAAGTTTGTGGGCCCTGTGTAAGCAAACACACTTTACCTTTGGCAGAGCCCAACACATCTGCGTAACTAAAACCTCCAACGAATACCAAGCCACGGAAAGAGTCGAGGGTCATCTCACCCGAGCACAAATCTTGCATGGTAAGGTCCCAGACCTGTGAGGAGGACCAAGACAGAAGGACAATTGGGGAGCCCTTTAAGACAAGATGTGGATCATGGGTGGGTGAAGCATAGCCTTTGCTGGACCCCAAGTCCCAGCAGTCTAGGCGAACAAAGCCATTGGCGAGGAATGCTGGGAGATTCAGTCCAATCAAATCTGGAGGACTACACTTCACTCATCCTTGGGTGTTTGACGAATTTGGCAAAGAAACTTCATGGGAAGGAGATTAAATCTCTTCTTTAAAGTTTCTGACTCTTCCCCTTGGTTTGTATCCTTATGTCTAATTGGCAGCGTCTTGATGGGTCCATCAAGAAATATCCCAGAAGTTACTAATGAATTATGCAGCATTTGTTGATGCCTGCCTAGGAGAGGCCAGCTCAACCCAATTCAGACATAAGGGGGGGGGGACCACCAGCAGAGGCTGAAAGGCAGCCAAAAAAGAGGTGTTTCTAATTTCAGAGAGGAACTCAACTTTTCCAGAGATTCATCTTGGTTTCCAAGAGTATGTCTTTCCTAGAATAGTAGGATTATGGAGATGGAAGTGAACCCCCGGGTCATCTAGACCAACCTTCTTCCAGAAAACATCCCTGGCAAGAGGCCGTTCAACCGTGGCTTCAAAAAACACAGCCAAACAGAGCCCGTCTCTTTCTGAGGTGATCGGTTCCAGTGCCAGACATTTTCTAAGTGTCTTGAAATGCAGCGAAGGACCTCCACTCTGGCCCTGCCACTACATGGGAGGTCTGAGGCATTCCTGCCTTTTAAGGTAGCCACAGGAACTACGGCTGTAAGGGCTCACCAAGGCAGCAGGCAGAAGTTCCCCGGACTCCCCACTCCTTCATCTGAGGTCCACAAGACTTTATGCTCGGCCATCCACCTGTCCCATCAACGTGGCTGACTTCCCAAACCCGAGACGCTTCCGTTGACTTGCCCCGTTGACACCATCTTGGCCTCCACGGCCTGACCAGTTGGGATCCATATTATATTGGCCTGCTTACCTGGAACCCAGCCATGAGGAACGCAGCCACCATTTCACGATCCCCGTTGCTTCCTTCCTCGCGCAGGATGGCGACGCGGGGCACAGGAAGACCTGGAGGCCAAAGCAAGGAGATGCACTGTCTCGTATTGCACTGTCTCGTATTGCACTTTCTTAACCACTCTGCGTGATTTTCGCTAAGCAGCTCACTGAAACTGGCCTTGATGAATTATGCAGGCTGATCCTCCTCCTCCTTGGCTCCTCTTTTTCCTTTCTTCTTCTTACTACATTGTTATTGTCTATTCAAATATAAACACTTACCCCCCACAACCAAAAATCACATATGCTGTGAGTGTGAGAAAAGTCTTTCTCCTTTTTTAAATGCATAAGAGGCTTCCTTCTAAGAGGATACCAATCAGAGCATGGAAGAAATAATTTTTTTTTAAATGATACCTTCCCACAATCCATTGAAGGCCAGTGGGAGCTATCCTCCAGAACTTACAGTCCCATGAAATGACTTTTCCAAACTTTGGGAATGGTGTATTAGGCATGATATAAAAACAAGGCGTGCATAATTCTTGTGCCTGGCCTACTGTTTTTAGGTAAAGGGAAGGAAGGGACGAAGACTCTCCTGATTGATCAAAGTAGGATTGAATGACTTGGGCGAAAGCTTTACTTCTTGGTTCTCAGTCTGAAAACAAAGCCCCTTGATTCAGAGATGTCCCCCCCCTTCCTCTCCCTCTGCTTAGCAAACTGCCTTTAATCTCATACTCATTTCCTGTAGGAGAGGAAGCTCTTCCTGCGGATTGAAGGCCAGAGTGAAGTTGGGTTCTGTGCGTTTGGCCAGCCCCGTTTCTTCTTGAGACACGCAGTCAGGGTTGGCCTGCAGCCTCTCCAGCTGGAAGCTCGTGGCTTCCCACCACGCCCGCAAAGTGGCCACCTTCCCTGCTAACACCTCCTGGCCGTTCACGGTGACCCGAACCTGTAAAAATACACACACACAAAGGTTAATTAACAAAGGATCTTGGCGGTGAGATGATGGAGGGAGAAAAGATGAGTCTGCCATATTACCTTTGGGGAGGAAAACTAGTGACCCAGAAGTTCCAAAACAAGAATTGAGGAGCCAAGAGAAAAAGTGAGTGGAAATCTTGATCTAGCAAACCTTTCTATAAGGTGGCTGATGCTCCAGCCATAATATCTGCTCTCTTCTGGTCCTTAAAGGGCCACACACCACCTCCAAGAGGTATGTTTCACTACTGTTAGGTGAGATCAAGTCGGAACCAACCTATAATCACTCTAAGAAGGCCTTCCAAGGGGAGATATTTAAGGAGTTTTGAATCACCAGGGAGCTTTCATGGCTGAGCGGAGATTCAAACCCAGACCTCTTGAGTCTTAGTCCATCATTCCGCCCAGTACATTGCAATGGGTATCCCACAGCCTCGCACCCCTTTCAAAGGTAAGGCTTAATATAAGACCTGGGGGAGAAACTATGCCTAAATAGCCAATTCGACACCAGCATCCCCACAAGAAACGCTCCGACATTAGTGGTTTCAAGCCCTCTCCCCTTCATGAACCACCTTTTCCCTTTACCATCCCATGAGTTTTTACTGTTGTTGTTTTGTTTTTCCCCCTTGATGGTCACCTCTCTGCACTCACCACGGCACTGGGTCCCCGGGCCCCCGAATACCCGACAGGCACACACCGCACCCCGGCCGTCCGGTACCGTCGACACACATCAGCCGCCGCTGTGGGGGGCACCTCCAGCACCAGCCCAAGCTCCTCGGCAAAAAGCACATCCAGGGCTAAGGAAAGAGCAGGAGAGAAGCAACGTCAACACAAGACAAGGAGTCCAGCCAGAATATGGGCAGGCACCTCTTGTTCAACGTCCGTCCTTGCATTGGCAATATATACAGTTATAAGAGTTTAACATCACTGGCTCTCTTCTATACCATCCTGGGACTTTGGAGAAGGTGCTAAAATCATCTGCTAAAATTAACTTCAGTGCAGTGAGTAGCCCAGAGAGCAGATCTGTCACAAAGGTGTAAGCAGTGGTGTAGTGGAGTCAGGACACGCAGGGTCAAAGCCCCAGGGCTTTCTAAGGAGGGGGGGCAACTAGGACATCACCGGCCAGCCCCCTACAGTATCCATGCTCCCTCTAAGTACATCTGCATTCCCCGAGCGGCTGGGGGAGGGATGGATCTCCCCGAGAACAGTGTATTAAGCTATTCCTGTCCCAAGGCAAAGTATTTGAGGTTGGTTTGGTCTTGAGCAAGCAATTAAGAGCTACTGACTTTACAAAAGGCCTGTTCCACCATTGGTTAAATGGACCCATCCGGTGCCTGTGTGCTTGGACTTTCCTTATGGGGCGGGGTGGTTATAGGGGCTGTCATGATGAGCGCCTGTACTTCCACACTGTTGATTCTAAGCACCTCCGAAAGCAAAGATCACAAAGTTTCACCGGATGGAGCCATGGCTGTTAAAGAGGCATCAAATGGTGCAGGAACAATTCCCAGTCTTGTTGACTGCACGGGGACATCACAACAAGCCACGGTTTGATGGGTTTGGAAACCTGGTTTGCTGTGATGTTGGAATCCAGCTCTCTCTATTCATTAACCAGCCACAGTGCACTTCTTTCGAACAGGAACTGAAGCCCCCTCCATCGCCACCGCCTGCCCACACCAACCTTCTCTTTCTCCCAGATTCACTGACCATTAATGCCAGGTGCCCCTAGTTCGATCTGGGCCCCACAGTTTCCAGCAAAAGCCATCTCTAGCATGCAAGTCAAAAGGCCTCCATCACTCACGTCGTGTCCAGCAGAAATGACTCCATCTGTCAAGAAGGAAGATGGGGAAAAAGGAAAAGTTGGTCTCTGTGGGGCAAAGGCGGGTCACGAATACCCTGCAGTATTCGATAGTTCTGTGAAATGCAGCAATGATCACCATTTTTAGAATTACCCCCTTTCTTTTCTTAAAACTAAAGGGAGATCCTAGTCCTCATGGAAAGCAAAATTTATTATTCTTGAATGTATGCAAGGAATACATAAGAGGGTCACAGTGACTTTCAGAGGTCCAAAGGTTTGGTTTCAAGCCCTCTGCATGCCTTGGTAACTCACCCGGTCGCTAACAGAAGTGGAAGTAATTACATCAGTACCTTGACTTACGAACTTAATCTGTATTGGACCAGCGTTCGTATGTCGAAAAGTTCGTAAGTCGAGGCAAACTTTTCCATAGGAATGCATTGAAAACCATTTAATCCATGCCAGCTGTTTTCGTTCGTATGTCAAGACGCTGTTTGTAGGTAGAGGCATTAGTTCTCATAGGAACTAATGCAAAGCCGGTTAATCCGTACTCTAGCACTAGGGGCAGATTTTTCTTCTTCTTTTGACCTAAGATGAACTTAGATTTAAAAAAGGGGGCAGGAAAGTTTTTTTTTTGTTTGTAAGTCGAGGCTCCCTTCGCAAGTTGAAACAACTTTTTGCGAATGGAGCCGTTCGTAACTCGAATCATTCGCAAGTGGAGACATTCGTAAGTTGAGGTAGCACTGTATGTGCAAAATTAGAACACAGATGCAAATGTGCCCCTTTTCTTTAGGTCCACAGACTTCATTTTTATTTGGTGCAGAATTTACACTTCTTTACAATATAACGGAAACTTGAGCAAATTATCCTTTTGGACTACAATGCCCAGAATCCCGCAGCAAGCAGGACCACTGATGGATTCTGGGTTTGGCAGTCCAAAATGTAATTTCTCCAGCCTTTGAGCAGAAAGCTAGCCTTGGACAGAGGGCAACAGAGCCTCTTTCCTTCCTTCTGCT